CAGAGGGGGGACCCCCGTGATTTGGAAAGTGTTGTAGAGCTTGCAGAGAGGAGAGAGGTTAAGAAAAAAACCTCATACAATGGTGTTTGAACTGGGGTCACTCCCAGCTGCCCATAGATAAATATGACCCTAAACAGCCTGTCAAAGGCTTTGCAAACTGAGCTAGGGCCAACCACAGCCCAGGTCCTAGACTGGCCACTGGGTGGCACCCACACAGGACAGATCTGAATAGCACTGAAAAGACTAAAAACTTCATTGATTGGGACTCCCCACAAAAGGCAGGTAGGAACTTGAGACCCTAACTGGGTCAATTAGCTGCTAACAAAAAAAGAAAAAAAGGAAGAAAAAAAAATTAACATTCCCCATAATATTTAACCAATGCCTGGAGCCTCATAACATATTATTCAAAATGTCCAGAATTCAATCCAAAATAACTCAGTATGTGGAGAACCAGGAAAATCTCAACATCCCGATATGGAAAAGCCAGTTAACAGATGTCAATCCTGAAATGACACAGATGTTGGAATGACATAGAATTTCAAGTAGCTACGGTGACCATAGGAATAAATGGAAAGAGGTAGAGAAATGGAGACAGACTGTAAAATAGATGACAGATATAAATAGATAATTAGAAAAAGAAATGTAATAGAGATAGGCAGATAGACGTAGAGAGACAGGAATATAGAGGCAGATATTGAGGGACAGATTAGAGAGATGTAGAGAGACAGGAATAGAGATAAGGAGAGAGTGAGACAGAGGAGAGATAAAGAGAAATAGAGGAGAAGGAGACAGAGCTGGACAGGGAGACACAGAGAGGAAAACATAGAGGGATGGATAGCAGCAGGAAACAGAGAAAAAGACAGCGCTGTGGACATAGAGATGGAGAGGCCATCTTTGATTTCTCCTCCTCCCACCCTTGAAATCTAGATTTGATTTTATCTCCTTAAACAGTGGTTCTCAAACTGTGGTTGTGGACATAGTAAGGTGACCGGTTCATCCCGACTTGCTGGGGACTTTTCTGGTTTTAGCAGTGAAAGTCCCCCGGCCCTGTGAATCCCCTTGAGTCCTGGGCAAGCCCAGATGTTGGTGACCCTACTGGCCTCTCCTCCGAAACTTCTCATCTCTCTGGGTGGGGGTATTCTTATCTACAGAGCTCTTATTACCTCTTTTAAGGCATCAATGCTTTTTATTTTTTGGTGACAGCTTTACTGAGATAACTCACACACCATAAAATTCACCTTTAATGTGGCTTTTAATATATTCACAGAGCTGTGCAACCGTCACCACTGTCTAACCTTAGAACACTTTATCACCCAAACAAGAAGTCCCATACCCTTTGGCACTTACCCCGTCTGCCTCTTCCCGCAGCCCCTGGCAACCACTAATCTACTTTCTCTCTCTGTGGATTCGCTTATTCTGGATACTTCATAGAAACAAAATCGTATAGTATGTGGTCTTTGTGACTGGCTTCTTTCAATTAACATATTTTCAAGGTTCTTCCTTGTAGCAAGTATTGGTCCTTCGTTCCTTTTTATTGCTGAATAATATCCTACTATATGTATGTACCACACACTGTATCCATTCGTCAGTTTGCAGACATTTGTTTTTTTTCTACTTTTTGGTTATTATGAATAATGCTGCTGTGGATATTTACCTACACGTTTTTGTATGGCTGTATTTATTTCATTTCTCTTGGGAAATACATAGGAGTAGAAACATTCTGCTTTAAAAAAACTTTATGACCTTGTCTACACCTTCCTAACAGATTGTAAGCAATTGAAGACAAACATTCATCTTTTTGTCCTGGGAGGTACTTAGAAAAACATCAAAAACCTTTGTTGATTTAAATTCATCATAGTTTGCATTTCTCATGTTAAAATATGTCAGTGTCTAACCTTGACACTAACTGCAGGTGTAGCATTCTAGCTTGATTTTTATGTACTGGCCACTGCACTAACCTCCCGACATCTGTCCCCACTTGGAGGCCTGGGCCCTGCATGGCAGGCGCTCCACCCTGCTGGAGCTGCTATAGCCTTGGTTTTAAGGTCCCCGTATCAATTGCCAATCCTAAGTGTTCCCTGGGGCTGACCTTTCTCCTGCCTCTTACCCCATAGCCATATTCTGTGATTTCTACTTCTAGACTTTTCCCCCCATTTCATGTTTTTTTTTTGCTTTCCAGAGCCCCAATGTGAAACTGGGACTGTCTTTAAATTTGAAATTTTAAATATTATAATTGGAAGCACTTGGGAGGTAAAGAAGACTATAGATATAATTGATCATCAATAGTCCTCATTTTTTTTTTATCATAGCTGGAAGACATTCTAAAGGGGTCATTTATTTCCAGTCCTTGTCATTGTTTAGAACTGATCTGAGAATTATGCTTTGTGGATGAATCCTGAACCACATCCCGTGAAGGGTTTACAGCTTTCAGGACAGAAGCACAGGGCCTGTGGCCCAAAGCATTAACAATATGGGGTTCTGTGGGGCCCAGTGGGAAGATGGGTGCAAAGGGCTGGGGTCCCTTTCCTCAACCCAAGTAATGGGAGTATCCCCAAAGGAACGCCAATAGTGGGGTTTAAAATCCTTCAATCTAACTATGTCTGGAAAATCCCTGATGCACAGTGAATGAAGAGGTGAGTTAATTCTGGTTGATTCAGGCTGCTAAAAATACTCTCTCTGAAATGATCCAATAAACTGTGTTAAAAGGATTTAAATCATCCCTGATTTTGTTACTTCTCTGTGTCATATTGCAAGTGGACTCTGGACTTCCTGTTACCAATTAATTCCTTACATCCCCCTTCACTCAATTCTACCACCCGAAGTATAATTTCCTTCCTTCTCAGTGAAGAACTATGGTTAATCCCTGTAATTATGCTGCAAATGCTTAGGCTCCTATCAGCTTTTCTGCTTCTCAGAAAAGTGTTGTGCAGTGGTCTCAACAGGTTGGCTTGCCTTGCAGGGAACATTTGGCAAGGTCTGCAGACATTTTTGGCTATCACAACAGGGGAGGGGGATGCTAGTGACATCTAGTGGGTAGAGCCCAAGGATGCTGTTAAATGAATATCCTACAGTGCACAGAACAGCCCCCACCCCCATAACAAGTATTCAGCCCCAAATATCACTAGTGCAGAGCATGAGAAACCCTGCAGGTGGCTTCAGTGCCCTTAGTAAGGGCCTTGTCACCCCACCTTCATAAGTTGCTCAGTTCTAGTCTTACTCCCTGTTTTCTGTTTCACATTTTAGCTGATCTAAGCCCCAAAGTAGATGAGTGTTACAGTAAGTCTGGCAACTTTTAGAAGTTCTGTTATCTGAAATCAACTACCCAGGCATTATAAAGCCCAGCTACACACATACAGCACAATTTCAGGCATTGTGGTAATCTCATCCATACCTTCCTTCATCAAGTTGTCCATTTAATTGGTGCCTCTTTTCCGGTTGGTTTACCAGAGCTGACATTTGCAAAGCCTCACAGGGGCTACATGAAATTATTTTCTTGCTAAATTCATGGGTGAGTTTAAGTGAAGTAATTGGGATGAGTAAATATAATATTACCCCTTCTTTGGATAAAGAACATGTAAATGTATTTACAAAAGGGCTGGGTGCACTTTGGTCATTGTTTAACGAATGACACTAGATGACGCAGGTCTTAAAGTGTATGAATAAACAGTTGCAATAAAATTCTTACAATTAAATTAAAATGTTGCAATAAATAGTAAAATATATGAAACTGACAGTAACTAACTTATGGTATTGCTAATTGATTTTAATTTACTAACCACTAACATCACTTCATCTGCCCTCACTTGAGGCTGTGCTCAGGCCAACATCTTACCAGAGTTTTCTCATTTTTGTCAAAACAATTTGGATGGCACAGATGAAGACATGAAGGAGGGGGCATGTAGTGTCACATTGCCCAGATTCTAGTCCCACTGGTGCAAACGTTTGAACAACAGCCCCGCCAAAGGAAAGGCATTCCTTCCAGGCCTGTTCTGCTGCTGTTCCTTTCTTCTACCAATTGAGCAGCAATACCTAACACAGGGGATAACTACAAAACATACATCTATATCAGTCCTTAATTCTTTTTCTAGCACACTTCAAATGGGTTATTTTATACATCGAAAAATGTCAGTTCTCATAGAAATCCTATGTTTAACTTTCCCTTATTTGTGTAACACATTTCTTTCCTGTTACATCAGGAATCATTACACATTTTAGCTGTGTTGATTATATTGCATTACAGTAAAGAATGCAGAACTTGAAGCTATAAAGCTTACTTTTCTTTGAATTATAGACATCATGTTTTCCTTAAAACTTAGTATTTACACATACCTAGGATAGTAACAAAAATATTTTGACAATGTGGAAGCTTTTGAAGCTTCCTTCAAGGAACAGAAAAGATCAAGTCATTGGCTGCATCCCACTATGCACTAAGCTTCCACTTTTCCCTTTGGACACTGTATTATGTATACACATCTGTGTATGTTATCTGATTATTGATTATTCTATAAAAGTAATTATTATATTCTATGCTTTGATATATTATGCACTCTGCTGGTTCCCCACGTACTCAACAAATTCTGAGCTTACTGATACCTTCACTTAATTAAAAAATGCCAACTTGCCTGTGAGATGGAAGGTGAGGCTTACCTGGATTTGAGAGTCTGCTGAGAGGTGCAGGCAGCCGACAGGGCATGTAAAGGCACACCTGAAAGTGAGAGTCAATTTAAGTAGAAAATGTTTTCCCTGAGGCACCTAAGGGTAGGAAAAAAAAGATGAGAAGTATTCTAAAACCTGCCAAAAAAGGTGATTTGGGAAGTTACTTAGGTTTTGACTCACACACACACACACACACACACACACACACACACACACACACCCTATATACAGAGGGAAAGAGGGCTCAATTTGATAGCAAATGTTCATGTATGGGCCGAACTTCTGAAAGCAATGGCTATGAGGAGTTGAGATCAGGACTACAGCAACAAACTGCAGCATTCCTACCAAGTTCATAACTAAGTTCTTGGGTTCCTTGTAGCTGCTCCAACAGTGAGCTATTAGGAGGCAGCCTAGTGAAGGATCAAAGCTTACACTGTGCTCCCAAAAGCAATGGAGACGCAACACCCTCATAGGGAATAAATTGTTTGAGGGAGATGCTCTAAGTTCACTTGGGTGCAAAGTATGAACACTGTACTTACTACTTGGAATAACAGTGCTTTATTACGTAAACTCTCAACCTGGGAAGGAGTGGTTGATAAAAGCAGACCCTTCCATTATTCACTAACTTGTGGAGTCTTTCGCTCGAGCATCCAGCTTTGCCTTCAGAACCAAGGCTCTGGTGGTGTACAGAAAGGAACCTGTGTCCGCTGGAGCTTACTGAGAAAGAGTCAGACAGTCTGTGGAATATTCTGGCTCCTTGAATTTGAGTAGTAAACGTATCTTCTAAAAATCCAACATTAAGACAAAATTAACTAAACTGTTTCGCTGATTTATATTGGCATCTATCAAAAAGAAGACCATAACTCATCCTGAACAAAAATAAAGAAATTAAAAATTCAGGAGGCTAGACTGTGGCCGGGCCATGGGCTTTGGAGCCCTCACCTGTAACTGCTGCCCACGACACAACGTGTGTTCATCCTCGGGGTGGAAAAGGTCCGTTTTTCAGAATTCACTCAGCCTTGAAAAACTTCCCTCCATGTTTTTCCATTACCCAGATACTTTGGTAGTGCGTGTTCTTATATAGAAATTCTAGAAATGATACTAAGTACTTCCTAGATTGGGGTGATAGGCTTTGTTGCTCCATTATTTAATTGAATTTGAATATATCAGTAAGTCACCAAGAAAGCAATGTTATTTATATTTTCATATACCAAAAAGATGAAGCAAAAAAAATATTCTCTTTCTACCTTCCCTTTAAACGCTGGTCTTTCCTCTGGGGTTTGGCACCTGAGCGTCTCTTTTCTCTTCCTCTGTGTATTCCTCAGGCAACTCATTCAGATGGTTGAATGGCTTAAGCCAGTTCTTTCTCTGCTTCTAACCCCACCTGTTTCCTGAGCTTTGATTCCACGTTTCCAGCTGCCTATTGACATCTCTATCCGGATGACTCACCAGCACCTCAAACATACAATGTTCACAGTTGTTCAAACCTGTCCACCTTCCTCATTTCCACTCATTTGTTCAAGTCAGGGACCTCAGCTATGCTTAATTTCTCTCTCTCCTTTTCATTCCTGAGACATAGAATCAAGAGCTCTGAGCCTGGCCTCCCTAAACGACCGATGAGGTCCAGGGACAATGGGGGAAGTGGCCTTAGCTATTCCTTCCGCTGCTTCCCCTAAATTTTCTGTTTTTCCCCTCAGCACAGACACGCCTGGTGATGGGTGCAGTATTAGTGACTTCCCTTGGGCCTTGGCTTGCTGGCACTGGGACACTGTCACGTCTTTTCAGAGAGAAGTTGCAGGGCTCAGCCTGAGTCTCAGAGCATCACCCAGTGCGAAGATGTAAAGGCTCAGACCTCACAATGAAGTGCTTCCTTCATTGTTCTATTCTGTTTGAAACAGCACCTGATTCTCACTATTGTTACTGCCCCAGATTGTTAGTCAGAAAGCTTTACCTTTCACTGGTTTGTTTACTCCTAAGATCCTTTCAAGGAAAGTGCAGGCCTGGGGGTGGGGTGGGAGGAGGTTGAGGAAAGAAGGCTAAATATTATTGATTGAACTATTTAATTTTCTTAGAAAGACCACATTGAGTATTTTGTGGACAGGTCTTGATGACCAAAACAAAGTTAAACTAACTCAAATACTTAAAGCTGAACGTTTAAAACATTATATTTTCAATTTGACTCTTAGCTTTTCCCAAGATGAGATCATCAAATAGTATCATGAAGGCAATCCCCCAGCTTCCAAATGCTGTTAAGTCAGCTTTCTTAGTCCCTTTATTCTTCCTCCTATAGCCTTCCATCAGTGTATTAATTTGGACTGCCATCCTTCCTGACACGGACTCTAGCTGCTTCCTAATCTTATCCTTGTTTCTTCTGAGTCATCATCTTCATTGTCACCAGGGAACACAGGTTTACACTTGTCATGTCTTTGCTTACAAACCTTTCCTGGCCCCCTTTCACTTCCAGGCTCCGAGTTGCTTAGTGCAGCCTAACAAAACCTGCTTACAGTCGGGTCCCAACACCTCTTTCCACTTCCCTCCAGGAGAGCTATGCTCTACGCGTTCTGTCCCTAGATATGTCGTACACTTTGGTGACTTAGGCCTTCCCAGAGGCTGTTCCCTCTTATGGGACACCATTCCTTCTCCATTTTACTTTAGCTTTCACCTTTTGTAAAGCTTTTCTTATCTTCTCCAGGCAGAGTTGGCTATTCCTCCTTTAGAAATACTAGGATGGTACCGCCATGTTGGTGTCAGCCTGCCGCTGATACTCTGAGCAACATGACGGCAAGGCCGAGAGAGAAGTCCCTTCCTTAATCCTTACTGCTCTTCTTCTGACTCCAGTAACTGGGCTGCTCATGTTTCCTCTGCCAATGCCCGGTTCCCGCAGGTCCCCTCCTGTGTACCCTCTGATCTTCTTCATTATCACAACTCAAGGGCCCATGCCCAGGGCCTAGCTCTGGGTATTCTAGTGCCCACCAAGGGCAGCACTTCTCACCCAACAGGCGTCTCTCTTCTCTTTTTCTGCAGGACTGGGGTTCAGGCTAGCGTCCCTTTCTTCCTAGGAGGAGCCTGGCCCAGTATCTGGAGACTACCTTCCCTGTATGTGCCCTGAGCCCTCTCCATTGACTAGGAAACTGGCACTCATCTTCTCCTTTGGGGTGGGTCCCCCTTTATGTCAACCTCTTTCCAAAGCCCTGGCACAGCAGACAGATCCTCAGTATTGCCAGTCTCATGGAATTCTGCACAGCTGGGTCTTGCCTAAACTCCACAGAGCTGGCCATACCAGAATTTAGATGAACCTGGCCGACTTCCACCCCTATTCTGGTCTTGGAGTATGGACTGATTCTCTTTAAGAAGCTGCTCTCTCAGCCAGTTTTTGCAGCTAAAACAGCTTGTCATCTATCCTACTGTGATGAATTTGCTTGGGCATGATCTTGGGCACAAGGTTTTGGCCAAGGATTTAAAATATATCACACTGTATTCCCAAATGCCAACCTTAGTGCAGTGTATACAGTTAACACTTTCCTTTTGAATGAGCTGATATTAAATTGTAGAAACTGCTAACAAAATTGCATGGAGAAATCTTTATATTAGAAAAATCTAAACCCCTGAATTTATATTCTAAAATTTAAGTGCACGTGATTTGAACTGCTTTAGGTTGACTTTTATCAGGCATATATCAGGAAAACCATGAAAGGGAATTTCCAGGGAGTAAAACATACAAGACAAGAACATGACAATTTTCTCTAGAGTCTACTAACTTAGAACAGCGAGAATATTCTTCTTCATGCTTTAATAAGGCCCCGCGGTAATTTAAGTCAATTGTTACTTCTTTTGTCAGTCACCACCTGCCTTTGTTCACAAAATGTAATTTTCCTTTGCTCCATTTTCCCTTCCAGCTCTTATACCTTCTGCATTTTTTTTCTCTTAAACCTTCTCATTATCTCTTCTTGTTTTCTCTAAAGCCAATTTTAATCGCCAGGGATAAGGCAGGGGTATTTTGTTCCCTGTTTTATTTATTCACTTTTTCTGCTTCACGCTTCAGTAGTTATTTTCAGGCAGCTGATGCTTATCAGCTATAAAATGTGCTGAACTAGAGGGACCCCATCCCCACCCCAATCTACTTCTAGGGGGACCCGGTGGAATACTTCCTTTCTGCTTCTCAACATTCTGTCCAGTACCAGCTGACTCCGAATCATCCTAAATGCCTCCCACACTGTCTGTTTGTCTTGTGAGCGGCAAGTATAACCATTGCAGGCACTGAAGACTTAAGTGCTTCAGGAACCCATATGGTTTGGAATTCCATTCTTCTATGAGGAGGTTTACAGAGCAGGAATGAAACTAAGGCAGAGCCTTAAATTTTATTCACCATTATTGAAGTATCCATTTCTAATTCATATGTAGTTTCAGTGGGTAAGTCTGTTAGTTGCTTGAAAAGATGTAATTGGGGTTCCTACAAGCTCATGGAAAATAAATACCCTATGGAAGAATAACAGTTGTGAACTAAGCCCAAACTAAATATTCTTTTTTATACAACATTGACAAATCAGGGACTAGATTTAACAAATGTTCCCCAATCACTAATTTTATAGACCTTTAAGTTCTTTCAGAAGTGTTTTTCAAAGGTTCTTACTTGTCATTTAATTGTGTTTTTATTTATTGCTATATTTTAAATGAATGCCACTGTTGTTTTTAGTTTCATTCTCTACAGGTCAGATTAATCTGTTCACTTCTCACGTACTGGAAAGCAAACATCTAGATGACCAAAATCACGTCTCTTCCATTTCAGGACTGAGCACAGAGGAAGCTTGCTGTCAGTATCTGCTAAACTTAACTTGTTTCATTTCTGTTTACAAACCAACAACTTCCACAAAGCACCAGGTGGCAGGTGACCAAAGAGTAGCATTTGGTTTTTAGGAAGAACCTTCAGCAGGGAGTTTAAGCAAAATGGGGGGACTTTCTAGTTTCTTCATTTGATTGGTTTGTGATCTGCTTTATTAATCTAATACTATGTTTTCCTGTAGTCTTT